AGGATGCAAGTTGGATATCTCGGCAAGAATTGAAGCGCGTCATTTGTTAGTACTTTGAGAATACATAAAATAAAGACTAATAATAGATAAAGAGATAAATTTTGAATAAAATAGTTGATTAATTTATCTTTTTATTAACTTCTGGCATCATACAAATTAACACAAAACAATACCAAAACAAACAACAACAAGCCTTCTAGGAATGTTATAGCATTATTTTTGGTTCTACCAATCTCCACGCGTAGCATTACGGAAAAATTAACGTTTAACATGCTAAGAAAAGAATGGGGCGTTCACGATATTAGTGGACATTACTCTATTCGAGTTAACACTAGTTAAGATCTTACAAAAGTCGTGAATACCCCTAATATTGTTGTTGTTATTTTATTCTGTAGGTTGTTGATAAAATTTATTTTTTATCTTGATCCCCTCTATTCCATAGACGTAGACAACCAAAAAAAAATTCCAGATAAAAAATTGTTTCCGTGTATTTATTGTTGAAAGTACTATAGTTTAAGTGTATCGATTAATTTACCACAGCAAAATCTTGCCTTTAATGTTTTATCACAACCTGTTTGCTTTTGTATGCATAATAGGGCAAAAAGTTAATGAACATGTCATGCATAGTATGTACGTACATTTTTTTAATCATTATTGTTTATTTTTTTAGATTATAGTTTGTTCAAATATGACAAAGATGTCTGTAATGTTACCAAGAACCTGTAGGCATTGTTGGAATATCGTAGAAACTTAACGCTCTCCCTATAACTAATAACCAAACCTCACTCCCTTTTCTGGTGCAGCGGTCTCACCCGTTCAGCAAATTATGCGCATCACTTTGCTTAACGCTTACCAATTAGGACAACACAGTTGCATCTACAACCCTCACCCGTAATTATCATGGTAGAATAACTGTTAATATGCACTTGTGTTGTCCGTGACAGGGGCTTGTTTTCCATAGATACCCCTCACGCCTCGACTCTTTACCCACCGATTCTTTGATTTATACATGTGTGTTTATTATTGCCCACAAGGGCTGACTAATTCATAGAGAGACAATTTATAGCGGCTTATTTGCATACTGGTATTGTTTCATTCTTTGACGTGTGACCTAGGGCAATCACAGCTGCTACAAATCTAGTGAACAACAAATCATTTAACAACTCATGGGAAAGACGAATTGGTCAACATTTTACACGCGGTTATCAAAACGTGTCACATTTACATTTTACCTTAAGGTTAAAAGTCGTTTGCCTCTTTACGACTTGCGCACCGCGACCAGTATTGGTCTATGCTATATTGCATATTTAAACCTATATTTCTTCAGCAACGGCTTCTGTTAAGTTCTGTCAGAAGTTAAAGTTCTGTGAAAGCTTTCCGTGTATTCATCATGCCTTGGCATTTTAGCAAGTATCTCAGACTGCATACGTCTACCAACAATCAACTTGTTGTTCCTTGCGATATATGGACATGTTTGTTTCTAGTTTCTCTTATGTTATCGTTATCCAGCCTTACTACCGTTCCAATCAAAGCGCGTCATTCGCTTAGTAATTGTGCCTTTTGTTTGTGAAATGACAATTAAATCAATATTTTCGCATGCCTCTGTCCTAGAATATCATTGACCTAAGGGCATTTTTAACCCATTGTCTGTTAGGTCTACATTTGTTGAAATGTTGTAGGCCAAGGTCCATTTTGCGGCAAGCCAAATCAGGGTGGTAACACAATGTCTTACACAACATTGGTACAATCCCACATTTACAGTTTGCATAAGCCAGCATAAACCAATGCACCACTAAGGGACTTGGGTCTTCGTTTTGGGAAATTTGTTTTTAAAAAAAAGGGTTCAGGAACATGACTTTCCTGATTGAACATTTCTTGGACAATTTATCGGCCTCCTCGTTGCTCTGGAGTCTTGGGTTCGAAGAAAAGTATGTGTGTGGTGATTAGTTACCTTTAGTCGATGATTATTCAGAAATCGTGAAATGCGATCTCGTGTGATGTAGGATTCATCAAAACATTTTCATCGTGCCAACGTTTCGATTTTTGTTGAAATCATCTTCAGGGCTCAGGGCAATTACACAGAAAACACACTTTGAGCCCTGAAGACGATCTCAATAAAGATCGAAACAATTAATTAAGTTTTTAGTTGAGATGAAAAAAAGTTAATGGCACGAGCGGGATTCGAACCCACGATCTTCGGCTAGATACCTCGCTGCTCTACCACTTGAGCTATCGTGACCCCACTCGGACATCAACTTCCTATCTCAACCCCACCTTATGTGATTTCCCTCCTTTTTGCCATTTTTCAAATGAAATGCCCACGGAGAGCTTTAGTGAAGTGTACTTCATTTTAATTCATTAAATTCACTAATTTTGTGGTCCGCTTGACCAATTAATACATTACAATTAATTAAGGTTTTTAGTTGAGATGAAAAAAAATTAATGGCACGAGGTCACGATAGCTCAGCGGCGTATCTAGCCGAAGGTCGTGGGTTAGAATCCTGCTCGTGCCATTAACTTTTTTTCATCTCAACTACAAACCTTAATTAATTTTAATGTATTAATTGGTCAAGCGGACCACGAAATTAGTGAATTTAAAGATCGAAACGTTGGCACGATAAAGAAAATGTTTTTCTGAAACCTACATCACACCAGACCGCATCTCACGATTTCTGAATAGACAAGTATAAGTTTGTCGTTGTATAAAATGTCTGATTTAATTGGGGAGGGGCATTGATTTAATCCAACACTTACAATTAGCAAAAGGCAGTACTGGACCTTGGCAGCAACAGAGGACTTTTTCCTCTGTTTCTTCTTCTTGCTGACAAAATTTTCTCAGGCTTGTTTTTACTGCATACGATGGACACGCACGGTGGTGATAAGTCTATTATTTTGGACCTAACACTAGTAGCTCTTAAATTTCGTAATTATGCCGTTTTTCTAAGGACTAAGGAATTCTCCGATGGCCCTCTGATGAACTTTTTCTCAAGACACTGTCTAGGGATTCGCACTAAACAAACGGTTTATTTTAAAACCTTGTCTGACGGATCTATATTTTTGACAAGAATGTTGAAACAATGACCGACTATTATTTTTTTGTCAATACCAAACCTTTTAATCTCCCTGGCAGTGTAGAATTTTCAGTCTAACCTGAAAGATGGTGACATATGGCCCAATAATATATGAATTGATTATCTATACAAATTCCAGTTGCTGACCCATTTTCATTCTTCGTGTCATATATGTCCAAATATTATCTTCCAGTCTCTTCTATCAGTTTAAGTTCTATCTGTCCTAGTTGTTATTCCAAATGATTGACAGGCCGTTGATTCAGTCAAGCATTTACAGGTTGCAAAATATACTGCGTTGGGTAGTGACGTTGATCTTTCATGACGTTGTTTCTGACAAACGATAGATTTTCAAACCTACGAGAGATAACCTACCAAAAAGACCATTTTTTTAATGGTGGAAAACAACACTACGGACCCAAAGGAAAGTCTCTCAACTTTCTACTTACTTTTCAATTAATTAATTTTTAATTAAGGTTTTGGTCGAGATAAAAAGTCAGTGTCACGTGAGGATTCGAACCCACGACCTTCGGCTAAATACGCCGCTGCTCTACCACTTGACCACTTGAGCTATCGTGACCTCGATCCTCTCGGACACTAACTTCTCATCTCAACCCCACCTTTTTTTTAATTTTCCCTCCTTTTTGACATTTTTCAAAATTCGTGGCACTGACTTTTTTATCTCAACCAAAACCTTAAATAAAGATGAATTATTTGAAAAGAAATTATTTGGTCAATCAGACCACAAACCTACTAGATTTTTGCTTTCTTTACGTTGATCCACTAGATGATCATCATAGGCAAAGTAAAATATTTGCTTAAATTTCTAGTCAGTAAGATGACGATAATTAAACACCTCAAACATTACACCAACTAAACTTAAGGCAAAATTTCATTCACTCACAAATTCCTAACTACATCATCTGAAAAAAATCTATAATTTGCGAAGGCTGAGAAATTATCAAAAGAAAGGTTATTCATTGCCAAATAATGGAAACCTAATAATCTAAAGTGGTTCTCATTCACTCGTAGATCACTTATAATTAGCAGATAAAAACTTACCAGAGATTAATACCATCAAGAAGAGCAGAGGAGATTAAGGGATATTCAGTCCGATTCGATGAGATATAAATTTATTTACAGCCAGACTAACCATAAAAACATTTCATGCGATTTTAGGTAAAAATATAAAAGAACAAAAAATTTGGATAAGAATAGTGACACTTCAATAAGTTATCTTGTCTGTAGATTATATATTGCCTTGTGGAATGTATCGCGAGAAAAGCACCACCAATAAATAAAAATTTGTTACCTGTTTAAGCTTAAAACAAACATCAATTACCTCATCGACGTCTTTTTGTTGGACGATTTTTGTTTATTGAATCGAAATAAAAGTGTGTGAAACAAGGCGTCTTCCATTCATGAACTTTGCCTCAAGTTAAACTAATTGAGCCGGAACCAGGTTCTATCCTTTGATAAGATATCCCGACTAAATTACTGGAATTAACATTGGAAGAGATAAGGATGATATATATTTTATAGCTTGGCTTTAAACATTGGGATTCTCGTGCTGATTGATGTGGGCAAGTGGAGTGATATCAGTTAATGAACCCATGGTATTTTTCATTTTACCAACCTCTATCTTGTCCTATTCACACTGTATACTCAACACGTTTTATATTGTGTGTATATTATTCGAGAAAAAATTACGGAATTTTAACCCTAATTGGACAGGAATATTGTCTGACAAAAATCGAATCCGGACTTCTTTTAAAATCGGAACGTCATTATTTCTTCAAAAGTGATCATTCATATTCAAAGGATAAAAAATAAGCATTATGTGACCCTTATACCCTGTATAGTCAACATCCTAATTTACCTTTTTCCATCTAATGTCTAATTTGTTTGTTTTTCTTTGTTTGCTTACACAAGACGGAGCTTTTGATGACGTCAGCGGTAAGTATATTGCACAAAATGTCGTTATGTTTTTGACACGCATGACCTGTCATCCATCCAGCAATCTTCCTTCCCCGGTTTGCACACCTTCATCGCGGGCTACGCCCATTTTTTAATGGGACTCTTTTTGTTGAAGGGAGATTTTTTATCTACTGAAAAGACGGATTAGCCTTTTTATCGCTTTTTTCTTATCTTGATCCAATGCCGACCAACTTATCTTTTATTCCGAAAAGTTTCTTTTTACTTCGGGAGAAAACCTTTTCTTTATTGTGTGCCACCATAATAAGAGAACCATATTGAAGATCATCGTTAATATCAGCTTTCAATTCCAGAAACTTTCTTCGCACCCTCAACTTCACACAACATTTATCAAAAGAAAAATGTCCGCATGATATTATTAACTTTTATTGTTAAAAGTGTGAATTTTGTGTAATTATTTTTGTACTACTTTTAAGTGATAATATTCGTGTTTTTTTTTCAACCTACTATAAAGGGGAAACAATAGTTATGCTGCAAAGAAAACGAGAGCATAGGGCGTTATATAAACACTCTACATCATCCAACTGTCAACTGAAAAGCTAACATCATCCCAAACAGTCATTAAAAAATGAGGACACATTAAACAGCCCAAATTGTCCTTCCAGTATTCAAACTGATAAAAGGCAAGACTTGAAATGTTACAATACATTGCGCTAACACTTATCATAGACATTATCAAAAGAACGCATAAACTCTATTACAATAAAGTAAGGGTCACCTCAATTCAAATTAAATTTCACCTCCGAGGTTTTTACTTCTTCATGAGGTTAAACACCGCGACCCAATCTTCTTCTATTGGGCAAACTCTTCCTTAAGTTTAAGGCTTTTTAGCTCTAAGAGAGTAAGTACCTTTAGGTTGGTTCATGCCGATTTAAATCTATCTATACACATGCCTCTGAAGTCTGCAGGGTCATATTAACGGCCTACTATCATCGCAGTTCTAGAACGTCCTAGGCTTACCATCTTAGTGAACCTTTTCACATGCCTATGGAATACTCATTTAACCAAGGACTTTTAACCAATTGTCTTTGGAGCTTCATTTTTGGCAGTTTGATGTCCCCCAAAGGAGTTCTTGAAAAATACTGGTCGAACTTTCCTTGGTCCATTTATCGGCATCCTCGTTACCCTGTATTCCCTGGTAGCCAATCAAGAATCTTGTTGTATATCAGACAGGTCACTGATCAATCTCACATACAAACAGTTGTGCTGACACAACAAAAGCCTTCTACCGCATATGTCCTGGAGTCTGGAGAGTCCAAGAAGTGTACCATCAGTTAACCTCAGTGTTTAGCTGCTCTGCTGTTAATTCCTGCGATAGTCTTTTGATAAACATAACACCTCTGCCTTGTGATTCGACCCCTTCAAGCTAAGGATATGTTTTAATCAATTGTCTGACGGATCTACGGCAATTTGGTATCCCCCTAATGGGTTCAGGTCCTGAAAGCTTTGTTAACAGCCCTTTGTGCCCAGGCACCAAACCTATACGGATTTTGATATTTCTGATATCTGACAGAGCCTTAATGCCAAAGGTCGCACGGCTTGAATACCGAATGATGTAGCAGCCTTTAGCTGTTGAGTTTCACCAAGATGACTGTTCTTTCATTGGGAACTCCAAGCTTTTTGACCTACCAGGCGGTGTTCAATTTACACCTAGCGCCTTAAAATGGTGTACGTCCCAAGGCGTGTATGAATTCTTTGATTTATTTCTTTAGATAACAGTTAAACAGTTACTGACTCATCCTCAGCCTTGGAGTCATCTCTGAAACAGATCTCCCTTTTCCAGTCAATTTTATCGGGTATTTGATGAAATTTCTTAGGTCCATATCTGCCCCATGATCAATCAGAAGTTTTAATTGCTTCTTTTTATGCATGCAGACTATTGCAGTGTATTCATTAGTTAGACATAATAAAAGTTACGTTAAGCGATTCAATGAAACACATCTTTGCAAATAACACAAAACAATGACAAAGCCAGAAGAAAAGGCAGACCAGACTAACAAAATGCTATTAAAACGCTATTAAAAGTATTGATATTTTGAAGATTTACATAAAACTCCTGACAAATGTACGCGCTTATTTTTTTTATTAAATCAATCACTATTTACTGGTATGAGAATTAATGAGTGTATCTGTTTTTATCAACAGTAGATTTGTTTAAACAAATTTAAATTTTTTATGGAATTATGAAACGATTGCAACCCGAACAATGTGAAGATTGCACAAAGGGCGGGCTGCCTAAACGGGCGAAATTAGAATGGAATTTTACAGGAATGTAACATTGTATGGGGGCCGTTATGGATAAATAAAGTGGCATTCCCGGTGCCCAGGGTGTGTATCGGATTTTTCTCATCGGGGGTAACAAAACGCGACAAATCTTACCCCGAGGGCACTAGGAGGGGAGGAGTGCCAGGATTATAACACATTTGCAGTTATGGATACAATGGTAGGTAGGGGTCTTATCCAGGGTTCACGGACGATTACACGTGTGGGGGTGAAACACCCTCCGATACCTCTAATAACTCACCCTCTCCCTTCGTCGTAAGCCCTTTATTTCCCTGCAAAATACCGGCCGGCTCGACCGGACAGCGCGCAATGATAAAAATCTCTTCCCCACGTACTAGAGGCGTGCTTGCCTAATTATTTTACGGCGCGACAGGGGGTCTTGTAAGAGAATCAAATTGATAACTAAGAAAACAACTATAATCAATCGTACATTCGTTTTTTCCTGGCGGACTACCGAATGAACACTCAAGGTAAAAAATATAATGTATTTGGTCATTAAAAATAAATGAAAAACAGCAAATCATCAATGATATAATTGAATCCATGACATTTATATTCCTTCTCACAATAAATCACTTTCCGACAGTCATGAATTGAGTTGATTTATATCATACAAGATAAACAGCTATCTATTGATTTTTTTTTACATTTCGCTATAACATAATCGTTGTAATTGTAACCCTAATTCGTTCACCATAAATATTAATTTCTAGTATATTATTACGTACTAATTTTTCAACTTACTAAGAATATATCAAGAAACATAATTTTAAACAGCTTCACAAGAACGGTACGTCTTGTACATTTCGTTTATTTAACATCTAGCAAATTTGTCAATTAAGTTAATAGGCATTTAGTTACACGATAAGGATCATACGCATAAGTACGACAAAAATTTATTTTTTTATAAATATGTTCTCTGTCTAGAATAAAATGGGACACACTAGGAGTTTTCACGATCTTTGTGTTAACCCTGTTAACTCTATTAGGTCCTGTTAGATCGAGAAAAATGATGAAGTAGACTTGTAAGAATCGGCTAGTTAACATTGCTCGATCTAAAAAGCAACAAGTTAGATGTTAGGTCGAAAATGTAGTCACATTGCTATCCGTTAGGGCGTAGGTAACCAACATGGCAGCCATGATTTTAACAGCTGTTTTTTGTTTACACGTATTTTTATTCTTAAATACGCATTAATCAAATCAGACCAATATATTTATTTTGTTAATTTCTGTTATGTCCTTATACTCTCATTCATAATAGATACATCACCTCTCCTATAAAGTTGTAGGCTGTTAGACGTTAGGATACAAGTTAGGTATGTCGGCACGAATTAAAGCGTGTCATTTGTTAGTATTTTTCGAGTGCATAAATAACGTTTAATCCTTTTTTAAAAAGATAGTTCCTACGCACAGTAAGTTGTTTTGCAACTATCCGGATTTCGAGCCTTTTAGCTCATCATCAGGTTGAAGGACTTCTATAACCACGTCTCTCGACATGAATTGCCAAAGTGAACCCGCTGATACCTCCGCCAACGCGGTGTTCCAATTAGCATGTGATTTTTTTAATGGCGCTCAATTTGAACGTGCGAACCGCGGAAATTGTAGCACAAATAAATATTATACCAGTAAATACTTAATATTATTAAATTACTATAATAATAATAACAATTAAAATAATTAGTTTAATTATTTGGATGTTTGATATTATTTATGTACATATTTAAAATGGAGGTAGATCAAAATCTGTTATATTATTAATGCATTATCACCATGTTCAATTTTACATTTTTTAATTTGAAATTTCTCAAACCAATTTACTCTTTCCGTTTGTTGAAACTATGTAACACACTTGTGTTTAGATTTGAATTGAAATTATGTTTTGTTTCTTTTAGATGGTCGTTAAATTCCGAAAATTTGCTCGATTTAGGCAACTGTTCTTTTACTCTTGTTTTTATTTCTCTACCGCTTTTTCCTATATATTTAAAATCACAATCATTACAATTGAGTAGGTAAACCCCGATTTTTGCCAAGTTGTCTTCTTTGTCTTTAGGTTTTGAGAGGATCTTTTTACGTGAACCCGTACTTATCATTTCTATAAATAACGTTTTGAATGAAAGATTTGATTAATTTTCATTTTTTATTAACTTCTGGCATTTTACACTTTAACACAAAACAAAACCAAAACAAACAACAACAAGCCTTCAAGGACTGTTACAGCTTTATTTTTGTTATTTTTGGTTCTACCAATCGCCACGCGCAGCATTGCAGAAAAATTAACGTTATCATGCCAAGAAAAGAAGGGGGCGTTCACAATCTTCTGGATATTTCTCTATTCCAGTTAATACGAGTTAACATCTTACAAACATCGTGAATACCCCCTGGAATAACATTTACTCCTTTGGGATCCCCAAGAAGATTTGTTTCCAGTTCTTATCATGTTGAACCCCCCCCCCACAATGCCACAAATAGGTTTCTACTCGATTTTTATATAACAAAATATACTAAAATATTTTTATGACCTATGATCGAATCAAGTCGAGTCAATCAAGTCATTATATGATAATTTGGCTAGTCCCTTGCATATTTAAATTCTATATGTCCGGAATATTTCTATAAATTACGATTTTTTATATTTCATTTCTCATCCCTGTGGGAAGTAGTAGATCCATAAACTGTGA